CCATCGATGCAGTTGCACGATATCGAAATGATGGTCCGACGACGTGTTCTGCAGTGTTTCTCCAAGCTACTTCACGTCCATCCCTTGAGTCGTGGCGACGTCATCTCTCAATCTAGCCTGTTGAGTCTAGCAATCTCCTCTTTCGCAGACCCCGATGCTGCCCAGGCAGGTCCTCTGGAAAGCTCGATTGCAGCCTCAACCGCGCAATTCGACACCTTATGGGATCTCTGCGATAACTACGGGTTTGGGGTGACGGGTATCACCCGTGATTATATTCGCGCGGCGCTTAATGGCAAGAACGACAATGAGAATGGGCCATCATGGTCGGCAGTCGATTCGGTAGATCAAAGTATCGATGACGCTGTAAGTACAAGACATAAGTACCTGCTTCTGACTTTGTACTGACATGAACAGTTGACCTTCCCAATCTTCCCTGCAAGCGAACACGACTCGGTCCTGCTCTATTCATCGAGACAAGGAGACTGTCTTGTGGCTGATCCACACGCAACTGGTGTCGTAAATGCGGCCATCGATCTCTTCTCCGTGGCTATTTCACTGCACGCCCCCAAGGTTCAGGAAAGCAGTGTAGAGCAGATTGCAACATATCTCGCGTCGCCCAGCCTTCAGCGAAACCCTGGCCGCAAGGCTGCTATGGTAGTCAACGTTGCTGTGGCGCTTCTTCATGCCCTCAAAGTCTCGGTCAAGGAAATTGGCCCCGGAGCTGGGAGACTTAACCCCGCCACTGATAAAGTCCTACAAGAGCTTGTTCAGGTGAGACATCAGTGCCTTAATGTTTGCAGACAAGACGGAAAGATTAATGATGACAGAAATTCGTCACTGATCCCGACCTAATCGTCCGAACAGTCGGCGCGGAGGCGCTTGGACGGCTGTGCGAGAGCTCCGGCAACACCTTCACAAATACACAAGTTAATTGGCTTGTGGATAAGATTGTTGAAAATAGAGAGCCTAATGCCCGCGCTGGTTGCGCTGCTGCTTTAGGTTGCATTCATTCCCAGGTCGGTGGTATGGCAGCTGGTCTGCATCTCAAAACCATCGTTGGCGTCTTAATGTCTTTATGCAACGACCCTCACCCAGTGGTCCACTTCTGGGCTCTGGGTGGTCTAGAACGAGTTGCGAACTCCGCGGGGTTGACCTTTTCGCCTTTTGTCTCGAGTTCTCTCGGAATGCTCGCTCAGTTGTACAACGCGGATACTCACAATGAGGAGGCGGCTACGTTGGCTACATCCAATATTGAGATGACCTTCCTTACTCCTGTCCTCATCAGTCGCTGTGTTGACTCGCTAATCAATGTGCTGGGACCTGACCTCCAAGACATTGCGAAGACGCGAAACCTTATCCTCACCCTGCTCAGGCAATTCCAGCTGGAGGACAACTCGGCCCTGGTCACGGAGAGTTCAAAGTGCCTGGATCATCTATCACTGTATGCGCCGGCATACGTCGACTTCTCTGGATACGTCAAACGTTTGCAGGTTGAGCTTTCTGCTGATAATCCTCTTATGAGGGACGTGGCTATCCGAGGTCTTAGCAACCTGATGAAAAGAGATGCCGCGTCTGTTATCCGCACCGCCACTCCGGCGCTTGAAGAGGAAATCTGGCTTGCGTTTGATGATACGCCTGAAAATCCGATCCTGAAGGGCATGATCCAAGATTGGATGCAACAGACAGCGCTCGAAGAGACGGAGCTTTGGATTCAGCGCTGCCACAATACCTTGACTAAGACGCGCGTCAAAGCGGAAGAACCGCCTCTTACGTCTGCTGTGAAGCCATCGGCTAACGACATGCCGGATGACGAGGTTGCAGGTTTTGCGTCCGCCATTGCTGGGGCCGGACAGTCTGACGGGGCTCATGATGCTGTATCCGGACAGGAACTGCTGAAATGGCAAACTCGGAACTTTGTTATGAGCTGTCTGAGCGAACTCCTGTGTCTCGTACAGGAAGCGATTCTGCCTGACCAAGCCATTCCCGCTGAACTTGCTTTACAGCAGAAGGTCGGAGACATTGTCAGGATGGCGTTCTCGGCCTCTACAGCAAATGTGATTGAGCTCCGGATCTGGGGACTGAAGATTATCGACCAGGTTCTAAGAGTAAGATTCCTGCCTGCTCCCACTCTCAAAATGATCTTACTGACATACTACCGCAGATGTTTGGAAAGACTCCAGACCCGGACTTCACGGAGGCGTCTCTCCTCGAGCAATACCAGGCCCAGATCGGATCGGCTCTGACCCCGGCTTTTGCTGCTGACTCGTCTGCCGAACTCGCATCTGAGGCCATCAATGTCTCAGCAACATTCATTGCGACAGGAATTGTGACGAACGTAGAGCGAATGGGCAGGATTCTGAAACTCCTGGTTCTTGGCCTTGAGAATTTCTCTAGTGAGCATGCTCATCAAGTTTTGCGTCGGTGTTTGCTAATCAACCCAAGATAATCTGGATACGACCGAAATCGGCGAACTGAAAGGGCTCAATTCCAATGCCAGGGTCATGGTTAAAATGGCATTGTATTCTGCCTGGGCACGGCTGCAGATCGCTAGTATCGAGCAAGAATACCTGAACGAGGTCGTTCAGCCATACCTCACCAAGCTGACGCCCCTCTGGCTCTCCTCTCTTCAGGAGTACGCACGGTTGAGATTCGAGCCAGATATTTCGGGAAGCCTGGGCACAGGACCATTAGGGGGCGACTTGGACGAAGTGTACGCTGCACTGAACCGCGAGACACTTTTGAAGGTATGGATAAGACTCGACTGATAAATGAACGCTGTATATTGACTTCTTACATCTAGTTCTACCAAGACTCCTGGTTGAACCTTGTTGATGCAATTGCCGGGTTGGTCGAAAAGGATATTGATTTTGTCTTTGACGCGCTAGACGGCAAGTCCGATCTTGAGGAGTCGAAAAAATCGGATGAAGATGAACAGGATGCGCCGAAAGGAGAGATCGGAAGCAAAGGCCACGATATCAATTATCGCGACGAGCCTGTCGCTTTCTTCTTCGTTCTCTTTGGTCTTGCATTTGAGGCTTTGGTTGACCAGTCCACCACCCCGTCACAAAGACTGGAAATTCTCCAGGCACTCAAGAGGATCCTACGACCAGTGATCTCCGGCAATGCAATCTACCAGGACGCTATCTTCTCGGAGACAATGGATTCACTTGATCGCCTCGCTCTGACTGAAGGTACCCCTATACAGAACGTGATCGTGGAAATTGCACGCAACCTCTCTTTAGACCATCCGTCAGCAAAGGGAAGCGAGGGTCGGGATGACCATCTTTCCGATGACATCGAACAGCTTTTCGAGTTGACGAGAAGCATCATCCTTGTCCTTGCGGGACTACTACCTAACTTGCGCGAGTCCACGCCTCTCGCACGGTTCAGCGTGGGATCAGAAGACGCTTTGTCGCTCATCCGGCTCTCCCTCTCCTCGCTGGTCAATGTCGCCTCGATATTCCCTTCCATTATACGCAATGACCTCAACGCATGCATCCTACATATCTTCAGCACAATTCTAGCGACGGGGCTATGCCAAGCCGAAGTAGTCCCCCAAGCTCTGCCCACATTCAAACATTTCATCAGCAGCGTCAGCAACAACCGGGACTTTGGGACAGACGACCCCGAGAACCTGGCCGTTGTGTCTCGCCAGTTACGCGGTTGCCTGACTCGTTTCCTCGCGACGCTGACCATCGCGCAACGGCGAGAGTCCGAGTCGTCGTTACCCTGCGCGAAGAATACACTTTTGGCAATCGCTATCCTGCTCACCACCGGCGGTCACCTTATCCCACCGCACGACTCAGTCATTCCCTGCGTCCTAGACGAACTACTCGACTGCCTCCAGGACGTCGGTCTAGCCAACGTCGCCGCGGGCTGTATCCGCTCCATCCTCCTAACCTCTTCTCCCAAGTCTACCACCAGCGAAAGCATCGCCCGCTACCTCACCCCGCGCCTCATCGGGTTCTACGTCGGCTGCCCCAAAGAGAACGGCGACGTGGCCAACGACCCGGAGAACTCTAGAACTATCACCGCGCGCACCCTGGTCTCCTGCGTCACGACCGCCGTCTTCTCCGCAGACGCCATGCCCACCGCCATGTCCCTCGTCATGTCTGCCCTCCTCGCCCGCGCCGACCGCGAGGGCCCGGCCGTGTACACCGAGACATCCGCTCACCTGCTCGAGCTCGCCAAAGCCAATCAAGCCATCTTCCGCGCCCTAGTGGCCACCATGCAACCCGCCCAGAAGACCCTCCTCGAGGATATCCTGCGCAGTGCCGACGCGACCTCCGGCGCGGGGACCAAGCAGAGCCGCGACCGCGCATACTCGGACCATGAACAGCAGAACATGCCCAGTATTGCCCTGCGGATGGACTTTTAAGATGTCACGCACCCTCTCCTCCTTCTTGTCCTTACTACCGCGTATATTCAATCCCCCTCCGTCATCTCATTCTTGTTCATCAATTGCAAATTAAACACTTGCTTATTCTCCTCATTTATCCCTTCATCCTGTCCAGAGATATGTATTTTCCTCTTCATATTGCCCCCCCCCCCCGGTCATCTTTTCATGTCGATGTGCTGTGACTTTGTTTGATCCTCTGCATACTCCCCCCCTTTTTTCTTTTCCTTCTGTCCAAACTCTCTAGAGTAGGTGGAGAAAGGGCATGACGTACATGAGTTCTTGTTGATTTTAACTTGTTGATGTTATATGACATTCCATGCGCCAGGATGATGTGGAAATAATTGGCTTTGAGTAAAGGAGGAGCAGGGGATTAAGATTCTCTTCTCTGTACGGACTCAGTTGTACGCAAGTCATGATGACAAAGCCATTGCGCTAATGTGGTTCTGTTTTTCTGTCTGTGCTTTTTTGCTTGTTCTGTTCGCTTCTTTGCATATATGAAGAGATATAGACCCAGCAGATACGCAAAGGGATTATAGAGGCGTGGATAATCAATCGTTCATAGAACATAATGCAATATGAAATTTATTTTTTCTATCTATACGCTCAATCGGGCTATTTGGGTGTGAATCAGTGTGAAGGAAAGGGAGAAAGTGAGGGTGGGGAGGGGGTATCGACATGAGTCAGCGGCGTAGTAGCGGTTGGCCAGTTGGGGAAAGGACAGGACGAGTATGTATATGTCTAAGGCAAGATCACGGAAGCAAGGAGAATCTGATATGGATATGGAAACAGTCAAGTTTGGTCGATCAGGTCAGTCATCCGTGAGACCCGCCGCCAAGAGAGGGAGGGGGAAGTCTATGAAGCGGGAAAGGTGGTTATACAGGGGAGATAAAGGGTGTGTCAAATAGAGGCACTGGTGAGATTCGAGTTCTGGGCAAGCTGCGGTTCACTTAACCCAGAGACTCGCCCAGATGGATCATGGTCGGGGCCGGGGTCGACTTGGGCTTGCGGACGGGGTCCGGAGTGATGACCCGACTCTCCTTGGCCTCGTTAGGCGGCTTGTCAGCTTTCTTCTTGCTCTTCTCTTCGCTTTTGCGGACGGAGTAGTACTTGAGGAAAAGGATGATCATGACTGCTGCGCGCGTCAGCATTTACCCTGGATAATAAGACCGAAGGGGGGAGGGATCGGTGAACTCACAAGCACTAATGGCGATGGCCATCGCGGCTCGCCTGGTCAGGATCCACCGCAGGCCCTCGATCTCGCTCTTGCCATCACTGTTCAACGACACCGTGATCTTATAGTTGAGCTCCTGCACGGAGGTATCGATGTTGCGCTGCTGCTCGCGCGTCGACATCTTGTGGTCATTGAACATGCCCTTGATGTCGTCCTTCAGCCCGGCGAGTTCCTGGTTCAATCGCTGCGAGAGGATGTCCGCCTCGTGCTGCAGCTGGGTCCGGGACGCGCGCTGCCGTTGCATCTCGGAGCCCCGGGCCATCTGCAGCGAGGACTGGAGCTCCGAGCACGCCGCCTGGAACAGGTAGGATTCGTTCTCCACGTCGGACTTGGAGGTCAGGCTCTGTTTCGCGAGGTCGAGGTTGCTCTGGAGGATGCTGCGGACGGCCTTCATGATCGTGATGGATTGCTCGTCGGAGAAGCCGCTCTTGGAGAGGTCCCGCACCAGCGAGTAGGTGTCGAAGTAGTGCACGTAAGGGGCCGGAGAGAGGTTCGGGGGGTTGCTCGTCGGGTCAGGGGCGGCGCCGCCGCCCGTTGTCAGGTAGGAGGACGGGGACGGCATATGGAGGACGCCCTCCAGCGGATTCTGCTTGAGGATGTGCGGGTTGAACGGTGTTTCCTCGAGCGAGTGGCGTTCATTATTGCTAGTATTGGTATTGTTGCTGCTGCTGCTGCTGTTGGAGGAGAGTATGGGGACTGCCTCTTTACTAGAGGCGGTGTCTTGGAGGTCGGAGATCGTGGGCTCAGTGTCTTTCTTGGGTTTTGGCGTCGGTTCCAGCTCCGCCTTCACTGGAGTCGCACTGCTTTCACTGGGCTGTTTCGATTTCGTGGCTTTGTCTTCAGGTTGGGGAGGAACGACCTCAGAAGCTTGGGTCTTGTCCTCCTCGGGCGATGACTGTTCTTGCGGGGCAGGGTTCGAAGTGCTTGTTTCCTGGCCTGGGGATGCGGGAGCCTGTTTCTCAGAGGAACCGTCTTTGGGCTTCAAGGGGGGCGGGAGGTTGGCTTCTGCGGCAGGTCCGTATCGTCGATGGTAGGTTTCTGGGGCGTATCTTCTGGCAGTGTGGAAGGGGGCTTGCTGGGAGCTGGAGTATGGAGCGCGAATGGAGCGGTGGGTCGTGGGTTCGCATGATCGGACCGCTCGCATCAGGTTCGGATAGAGGAAAGGAAGCCTAGGAGTGGCCATGGTGGAGGAATTGAAGGCTGAGCAAGGGCAGTAGAAGAGGTCAGGAAGCACAGCGAGCAACAACCAGCATCAGCATGAAAATGGTCAGAAGGAGATGAACGCATTGCCTTTTCCCGCGGCGAAGTCATTGTCACCGGAGGAAACGTGACGTGGGCGGTGAGTTTCCCCCGCGGACACTACACCGAATGTGGACAAGTCTGTAACTAACTATACAAGGATTGCGATTGGTCTGGATTCATTTGTGCAGCTCTAGTGTGAATATTGCCTGTATATACAATGAACGATTGTACACCTGACACCTTATGTCTCGATCTTCTCTGCCAGGAGACCGAATAGAAGGTAGGTTCGCTTCCAGTGCTCGTGGGCCGCTTTGTCAATCTTCTTCGCAACCTGCAATTGAGGTTCAAGCTCTCCGCGAATCGTTTCCAGTATGTCCGCCAAGTGGCTCGCCTCCGAGTCACCAACTTCAAAGGCAGATTTGAAGTAAGAGGCGTCAAAATATAGCTGGATCATATGATCTTCTAGATATTTATGTGAGTCAGCGTTCTCCGTCTCAGCCTGCGACTTTTGCTGTGGACTCTCATCCCCGTTCGGATCTGGCGGTTCGCCATTGTTGACCTCCGCTTTAGAATCAGTCGCCCCATTCTGAGAAGAAGATGACTTCAATTCTTCCATCCTTGAGGCAATGGGTTGGACAAGGTCCTTCTGCAGAGCTTTCTTGAAGCATCGAACGGTCGAAGCGTCCCAAAGCCCAGGGCCATACTGGCTCATAGATTTCGTTAATCGGCGCAGGAATTTGAACGCCGATGGTGACGGTTGCACAGGGATTGCAGGGTCACCTTCCCAGAGGGAGCGACCTGGGACTCCTCGAGAGTTTTCAATTGAGCTAGCTGGCGGGTTCCATGGCCTCGTGTGCGCCACTATCTCGGTAGCAAGTATCTCTTGTAATTGTGGGATAACACCATCAGCGAATGTGTAGCCCGCCGGGATAAAGTCGACGGGAAGTTCTCTCTGGATAAGCCTGATGAGCTTGAGCAGAAATGCGACCTGCTCATTCAGACTCGTTTTCTCGAGAGCTTTGAAGATCTCGCAGAACGAACAATCAAGAGTTTCGAAAGCTTCCTTGATAGCAGCCTCAAGAGCCTCCCGCAGCGACCGGGGGTCATCATCGGTCAACATTGCCGGGATGCCCACGTCTAGATCTTCATCCTCGCCTTCGTCAAGAATATCAGGCCATCGACATTGGCGCAAACCGTCGATAGAACTTTTGGACTTGTCTACTGTCAGAAGCCAAGCTTGGTACTTTCCGAGAGACGCGACGATGTCCCCGTCTCGTCCCAAAAGCCTATCCACAACAGCTTGTTTGAAGAAAGCGGAGCCATTGGAGTAGTCAGTTGAGATGAGGCTCTCGTCCCATAGTGAGTGAGAGTATGTGTGATCCAAATTGCTCCAGCCCGCGATGGTAGAAGCAATACTTTGGCCGAACTTGTTCAAGTCTTTTGCCTGGTCTGCTAAAATGCCGGTGAGTCGTTCGTTCAAGACAGACCTGATGCCCTCCAACACCTGCAGGGATGAGTGGGCGGGCGTTGAGCTCCGGGAGCCTAACCACAATTCTAACACTTGTTCACGAAGTGTAAGGAGTTTTGAGAAATCCGACCAATTCTTCAATGAGTCTCGAGACCCCTGCATATACTTCTCGAATGCGGCTTCTGACCATGTCTTAATTATTTTATCGACTTCCGCCCTGGTCAGTTCGCTGAGTTTGATCCAAGGAGTGAAGTTGCTGACGTCTGAAGTTACCCATCGCCCTAGGACACCAAGGTCCAGATCGTCCAGGCCGCAAACCTCGGGGTCTGTGAGAAGTGGCCGCGCTTTCAACTTGTTCAGTACGTCAGACAGCCGCCGCGAAAGTAGGATCTTGGAAGTTTGTAACGTTCGAATGTATAGGCGCAAGCTGTTCAGGATGTTCTCGCCTGAAGGGTCATTAAGTTCGAGCTGGCTCCCAATAGCGTCTAGACGTATCTGATGGAAGTACCGGATCGCATCGTCTGAAGAAGAGCTGGTAGCTAGGCAGTAGGCAGCCAAAGCTTCAATGATTTCGTCCGGCGTTGACTTGGCAGAGGCAAGGCGCTTATCGACTCTTCGCAGCAGGGTTCGGCGGAGGGAAGCCAGTTGATTGCGAAGGTTCTCGACGAAGGGTGGCACTGTCGGTTGTTGTGATAGGGTCTTATGAAGCAGCCGTGAGATGACCATGAGCTTGGCGACGAGTAGGAGCGGGCCTCGCCGTCTGAGGAGTCTCGACATCGACACTGCGGCGCGATGAAGTAAGGCAAGCTGGCCTGTGAGGGCGCGCTCGGGAGAATCTGGTACCAGCCATCAGTATATAACGAATCGATCGCGCACTTCAAAACAGCTGTACCTTTATTTGACGCGACTGCCTGGACATGAGTGTACGTTTTCTCCATTAACCGCGGGTTACACCTTCGCCCTATGTCTGCCAGCGTTGAATCCACTTCCTCCATCTCACGATTCATGGAAACGATCTTCTCTGCGGTCCCCACAAGCTCTCTATATCGCGTCCTATATGCACAAGCAACAATTAGCCGCCGGTCAATCTGTATCCTGGAACGACCACGGCATACCCAACCAGAGCTCGGAGTCTCTCCTTATTACTCGCAATGTCCCGTCGCAGCTCCTGCTCCACGCGGCGCACGGTTGGAATTGGATATTGGAATGCATCCTGCCATGATTTCAGGCTCTGAGGATCCGGTCCGTCTGACGCCATGACAAAAAGAAAAAAAAAAAACCACGGAGTGTTTGGCAAAGATGGCCAACGACTGCCGAAGAACGGTGACGTGACGCCGATAATGCCGGGGTGGTCCTTTGGATGTTGCTACGCAGGCCAGAACGAGGGGATGACGATCAGTCATGCCTGAGGCAGCACGTGGCATTATCCGTCTGGGAGCCCACTATTCCCCATCTGGCAAGGAACTTTGACTCACTCCCAAAAAAAAGTGGCTGCCCCGCAGACTGTCTTTGCGATCGACAAGGGACCATTCTTTTGGCGGATACAATCTCCCATCCAACCTTGCATTTCTTGCACCTTTTGCATCGCCATGCCTCATATCGACCCTCCAGAGACACCTGCCACAGAGGGTGCTCCCTCCGAACCCTTGACAAGGCTACCCTTTCCTCCGATTACATACTCCCACATCCTGAACTGCTCGTATCACAGCTGGCAACCTCGGTACGTTCGCCTCATCATCGGCCAGTCAACCCCATCTAGGCGTTACTGACTGACACCCCTCTCATTCTGCAGGTACCGTTCTTTTGTCCCCAAATCCCGAGTGATTCCCCTCAGCGCCCAGTTCGTCTCCTACCTGCGAGCCGACGGAATTGTTCTGCCGCCGGAGGCTGCCCCGCCCACGGACGACGACGACAATCTCGACACCTTCTCCGACGATGGCGAAGCCGAAGAGGCAGACCCGTCTGTCGAATGGCCCGAGATCCACACTCAAATCAAGTCCACGATCAGTGAATACGGGGGGAAAGTGACACCGAAGCTGAACTGGAGTGCTCCGAAAGATGCAACCTGGATGTCGGCCACCAACGACTTACAGTGCCGCACGCCCAACGACATCTACCTGCTCCTGAAGAGCAGTGACTTCATCACGCATGACCTGGAACATCCCTTCGATGATTGCGTTCCCGACGCTGCCGCCGCCGCCGCCGCCGCCGCCGCCGATGCCGCACCCGCCGACTCCGCGGCCTCCGAGACTCCGCCCGAAGTCCCCTACCACCTCATCCTCCGCAAATACGTCAACTTCAACCCCTCCCTCGAGTTCCGGTGCTGGGTGCGCAACCGCGTGCTGCTCTGTATCTGCCAGCGCGACCAGAACCACTTCGACTTCCTGTTCCCCATGCGCGATGCGCTCCGGTCGCGCATCCAGGCGTTCTTCGACGACAAGCTGAAGAGCACCTTCCCCGATCCGAGCTTCGTGTTCGACGTCTACATCCCGCCGCCCCACGAGAAGGTCTGGCTGATTGACATCAACCCGTGGGCCGAGCGGACTGATTCGCTGCTGTTCAGCTGGCTTGAGATCCTGACGATGAAGGACCCCGTCGGTATCCAGGAGGAGGAAGAGGACGATGGCGCGGAAGAGCAGTTCGTTCGGCTGTCTCTCCGCGGTGCCGACAACGGTGTCAACGGGGTAGTGGAGGAGGAGGAAGAGGAAGAGGAAGAGTCGGAATCCGAGGACAAGAGCGGGAGCGACGATGACGATGCCCCGCTGTTCGCGGAGTTCCGGCTGGTGAAGCGCGATGACCCCGAAGCATATGCTTTCACGACGCCACAGTATTCCGCGCATAAGCTGCCCAAGGAAGTTGTAGATGCCTCCCTTACTGGGCCCGGAGGCATGAGCGAGTTTCTCGGGCAGTGGCAGGATATCCTGGCCAAGCAGACCCAGGAATCCGATTCGGACGAGTGATGTCTTATGATGAAGATATTAGGATAGGTGCTGGTGTTCAGGTTTCGAGGGCGTTTTTGAAAATAGAATATATGATATCAAATTTAGATTTATGAATTCAACCATTGTTGAGCTGTCCACAATACAAACTCAAGATCCCCACCCCCCGGGCGCTTGAAGGATGTATCATTCAAGCGTGGACTTCTACGCCCGGCCCCATCAGCCACACAGCGCAAATATGAACACAATCTCTTCAACGAGAACCCCCGGCCAACACCTCACAATTTATGCTTCTTCTCCCCCGACGCCAACTTCCGAAACTCCTCCTGCGGCACCCCACTCATGAACCGCTCCAACCCAGCAAACACCTCCAACCCATTCTGCCGATCCAGCACCTCCCTAGCCGGTCTCCGCACCAGCTCCTTGATCTTCAGCAAACTATCCTGATTCAAATGCTCGCCCAACCGCTCCTCAACCTCAGCGAGCACCTTCCCCAAGAACCCGTCGGAGTCGTCCGCCCGCCCCGAATCCGCGGCGACGACGCCATTCACGAACCCGGCGGCGACCAGCTCCGCGCACGGGATGCGGCGGCTCATCAGCAGCGCCTCGTTGGCCTTGGCGATGCCCAGCCGCTCGACGAAGGCGTGCGACGCCCCGCCCTCGGCCACCAGGCCCAGCGAGGAGAACGGCGTCAGCAGGAAGGCGTGCGGCGCGGCGTAGATGAAGTCCGCCTGGGCGATTAATGCGGCGGACAAGCCGACGGCCGGCCCGTTGAGCGCCACGATCAGGATCTTCGTGTGGTGCGCGAACGTCCGCGTGATGTCCAGGTTGTTGGCCACGAAGCCCCGCAGCAGGTCGCGCCGCGCGCTGGTGTTGAGGCTGCCGCCGTTGGGGCGCGAGATGGTTACGTCGGCGCCGCTGGTTGGGGCGTTAGTTGGGTTTGAGGTACGGCCGCTCGGGCAAGGCGGAGGACGAGAGTCAGGGATCCGGGGGATGGGGGGGGGGGGGGCAAACTCACGCGGAGAAGAATCGTCCCTTGCCAGTTAGGATCGTGATGTAGATGTCCTTGTTCGCGTCGGCTTCGCGCAGGCGCTCGCCTAGGAGGTAGTAGAGGTCTTGGTCGAGGGCATTGAGTTTCTGGGGGCGGTTCAGCGTGATGATGGCGATTCGGCCTTGGTAGGTGATTGTGATGAGGCTCTCGTCGGTCATGTTGAATTGGACTTGTGCTAGTGGTAGAGCGATGTATGCGGGGAAATTCTAGCTGTTGATGTATGTGTCTATGCACTTTCTGCGGTGATATGAGACAAATGCGGTGGATAAATTGAAACCACACGTTCTTATGCGTTGAAACCGTTATGCAACAGGGCTAAATCAGACCAAATCAATGCACCGGACATGAAATTCTACTGAACAGAGGAGCAGGAAGGGAGGAAACCGCCGGTATATCTATTCCGGGGAAATATTGGGGCTGCAGAACGCTAGGCTTATGCGGGGAGATTCTCCAGCGGGCCGAGCATGGAACAGAACAAGCCGAGGCTCACAGCACCGCCAAGTACTGACTAAGCCCAGGGTCACATGACCTCTACTGGCTTAGCTGCACGTGGGGTGTTTGCTGCGTTTGCACCCAGTCTCGGGCTTTGCGGCGGGCGGGTTCGGCTTGTCAGAAGCTCCGTGAAGATAATCGTATCAGACCATTGGAGCATCACCAAAAGTTCTCGCCCCGGAGACTGACTGGCTCGAGACCGGACAGACAGACTATTCCCAGGATCAATCTAAACAGATCAATCCCAACACAAACCACAAAGCAAACCCGCATATACGGCATCGGACTCTAATACATCCCCCCTCCGCTCCGCCACAAATCGCACAAGATGTCCTCCATCCTCCGCAAACTCCAGGGTGGAAACCTCGAGGTCTTCAAGGTAATCCCCGCCTGCCTACATGCATATGCTATGCCCATGGAAACCGAACACCAACTAATCTCTAACCCTTGTCACCGACTCGCACAGTTCGGAACCTACATCCTCTTCCCCATCGGCTGGATGTACTACTTCGGCACGAACCTCGACGACCGCTTCACCGTCCAGGGCTTCTGGCCCACCGCTGAACAATCCCACAAGATCCCGCTCGAGAAGGAGGAGATCGACCGCGAACTGAACCGCATGCGCATGAACGATGCCATCCGCCGAGAGCGGAGACAGCGCGAGGCGGAGGCGGAGGCGGAGCTGCAGCTGGCTCAGGCCCGGGCGCAGACGGAGGGATCTGCCAGCGCGGAGTGAGTTCCCCTGTATGAGTGATGGGATGCCTTATTTGTTTGTTCGAGCGGAGTGAAGAAAAAGGTTGCGGTGTGAGATCGATGGTGCATATGCCGGGGTTTCCCTTGACATCGTGACCCGGGGACGAGCAGACTCATTCTTCGATTGATGGGCTTGCGGTGTATCCCTCAGCGGCGGGTGGGTTGTTGTGGGCATCCATGTCGACTTCGATATGGTGAGTTTGGTACGCTCGATTATGTACTATTTCTGGCCGGGGGTTCACTTGTTTTTTTTTTTTTTTCTTTTTTTTTTTCTCGTTGTATAACACTCTTCTCTGAGCATGACCGGAGTTGTATATTTGGGATGGGGGCTGTTTTTTTTCGGGAGTTTTTTTTTCTTTAGCTACAGAACAAAATTGGACTTCGATGCTTATTGGCAGTGTATGTTCATCTCGAGCGTCGGTGTCTACATGTCCGAACCGCACGGATACGCTGCACTGGAAGCACGATCTGTAGTCTAGTTTACAATCCGCGTTACAGAACCAAGCTTATTCTTCATGGTGCCATCGAAGAACGACGTTCGGCCAAGTGGCCTCGGAGGCATGCACAACATTCGACAGGCTCTATACGAATATTCACTTATGACAATAGCAGCCTCGATACAGTATGGACAGGAAGACGAGTCGAGGTGGAGAGCTTCAGGAAAAGATCACAAGGAAGAGGATCTAACGATGATGAACGCCTGGAATGCGCCGGCCCAGTGAAGATTGTATCGCTCAAACGCCATGAAACAACGTTGCAACAGTATCATGAACCAAGAGGTAGAAGAAGCTGCGCTTTTATCGTGCAATGCTGATGCAATTCATGCTCGAGGGCGAAAGGATGTGGGGGTGAATTAAAAAGCGGTATAAATGGGAATGGTGATAGCAGAAAGAATGGCAATTGGCCCCCACGGTATCACAGCTGAAAATGCACCTCAGCAAACAAAGTGCATCGTTGTTTCCGAACTTCCGGAAGCCGAAATCCGAGAAGAGGTGGGGAGATAGAAAGCACATCAGTGCGGAGACCAAGGCAACGAAGGAGATCAGAGTTCGGCAATCGAATCGGTGACCGTGGCAGCTTGGTTTTTGGCTGTCTCATAGAGGACATCCATAGTCTGAGTGCCGACTTCGCGGAATACAGAATTGATGGTCGGAAGATTTCCGGAGATGAATGGACGTTCGCCGACCCAGTAATAGTATAAGTGGCTGTAAATGGCTCGGATATGATCGGGCAAATAGACGTAAATGCCGGTGATAATCATGGTGAGGAGGGTGAGGAGGAGAGAGTCTTTTCGAGTTCCCGTGTTAGCGCACCATATCTTGGGAATTGGGGGAAATTGTTTCTTAAGCATAGATCGCTTCAGAGGGACACAGCTTGACGTACTAAAGATGAACTTTTCGGTAGGAGTGAGCATATACACGGCGAAAGTCACCTCATACTGGTAAATCTTCAGTCGCACCCAGCGCACGAGACTCGTGACAAGCCAAAGGAGAAATGTCATTGCTGTGAATCCGCCAATTGCGAACGCGTTCGATCTGACTGAGAATATGCAGCTGATAAGACTGATGGAGAAATATGGTGTGGCAACCAGGCGATGGTGATGTGGGGAGAGTCGGCTTCAGGGGATCTATCGCGGATGCTCTTAGGAGAGATGCACTTTGTTGAGCAGTGGTTGAAGAAGGGATGAGAGCAAGTAGTGCCAAGATCTACCAAGCATCCATGATCTGACAGACAGAGAGACTGACAGCTGAAGCAAGACAGCGATGGGCTGAGAAAATTATAGTCTAGGCAGACAAGTAAATGGCCGATAGGTAAGCGGGTGAGACAACGGAGTGCGGGTTGAAGGGATCTCCGTGGGACAAGAAAAGGTTCACAAGAGACTTATGCGCAGCCGGTTGAGAGGATAAAGAGCCAGTGGGAGTACAAATGTAGAAGTGGCAGGTAACTTTCCCTTTGTGTCTCCTGAAAGTGGAAGTGTGGGGGGGTTTAAGGGAGTGGACAGACAAGGAACAGCAGCTGTAGAATGGTTGGGAAATCCGTTAAGATTAAGTAGGCCTCAGAAAAAAAGCAGTAGGAGCGAATGGAAGACTAAATCGAAGCCCCCGTCAAGTCCATGCTGGATCTGGACACTGTTTCAAATTGGCCGCAGGACACTAAAGCAGATAAAGTGTCGACCAGACTCAGGTTCCACTAAGGGTCCAGTCCAGCAGCCAGGGTAACTTACTAAGTTACTACTGACTGGCAGTCTACTGGGTAGCATTCATTTTATGCGCAGTTTTGCTTCTCGTACTCGTATCGTAACGACGAGTTTGGTTCCAGTGGCTGTGCTCGATGATTGATTGGCGTGTCACTCCATGAATCCACAGAAAAGCGTACGTCAGCCTTTCCACTAGCAGAGGATTCTCTATGGCTGGACAGAAACAATTCAGAGTGTAATTCAACCCTCATCGGGACGGGACACAACGCCGTGAGGGTTCCAAATGCACGGCCACTGTTCGACTATGAGGGAATGTTGAATGAGTGATGGTACATGAGGTGTAATGAAGGTTGTCGAAGTTCAAGTTGTTGAAGAAACTTACTGTAACTGACACTCCAGTGTGCTGAGCTGGTATGGTAAGGGCATACCATCAATACAATACAAGCAAACCAGCCAGAAGAACAATCATGAGCATTAAGTTACGAGTATATTGTAGGCTTACTCAGTGCTCCGTAGCTACTACTGCCACAACTCCTTCAATCACCATGTTTCGTGCCTCACAACTAGCTCATCATACTAATCCCCTCACACTCATCTCAACTCCCAATCTCTTGCGGCGGTCATTTTCCCTCTCCGCCCTCTCTCTGGCCGATAAGCCACTTCCTCCGCGCCTAAAGTTCCAAGATGCCGACTTGACGATATCATACCTGAAGGGCACCGGTCCCGGTGGTCAAAAAATTGTACGTCGCTCTGAAGGAATCAGCCATTCGGAAACTTCTTTTCTTGCTCTTGTGCAGAGCCATCACGCGCTAACTCATCTGCTATGATCTGCCCAGAACAAAACCAATTCCGCCGTCCAGATTATCCACAAGCCCACTGGCATAGTGGTCAAGTCGCAAGCGACCCGGTCGAGGTCGCAAAATGAGAAATATGCTCGTCACATCCTGGCAGATAAAGTCGAGGAGCTGCTGAATGGGGACAAGAGTCGCGCCGCCATCAAGGCCGACCGCGCGCGAAAGAAGAAGGCAAGTAAGGTGAAGAAGGCTCGGCGCAAATATCGTGAGTTGGAGAAGGGCCAGGAAGGAGCAACGGAAGAGCTTGAGGGAGTGGAGAAATCTGACGATGGAGAACACGATGCGAGCGATATTGACTCCCCTTGTCAAGAAGGAGAAAAAGCCGACGAGCTTTCAGAGGCACAAGAGCCTGAGCAGAAGAGATAAACAAGCCTCTTAACCACCCTTTCCCTGAGAGTTACAGCAGGTCCTGCAGCTTTTCCGTTCTCTCCATACATTCTAGACAACGCGCTGCGAACCGGCACGCTAATTGAGATGCATACGCGCCGTTGTACATACAGATTCAATCACATATAACCATTATAGCAGATTAAAAATGTTCATTTATAGTTCATCAGGACATACAGGGAGGCTGCTTGCTCCCACATACTATTTCCTCTCCATGGTTTATTTTAGGGGAATATGCAAAAAGAAATTGAGGAACTCCAGCAAAGTACCCAGACTTAGGATGTCAACCCAAGTCGAAGTTGCTTATGCGATGTAACTGGAGAGCACGCGCTTGGCATCCTCTCCTAGACGCTCTTGAACGAAGCCAGATATCCGGCCACTAGACTTAGCGTCCGCTTCCTTCAGGTACTTGCCCGTCCACACCTTGAGATCAGAACCGGTCTCAGGCCAAGGATCACGAGGCACGGGCCGGATGCTGTTCAGCGCGGTGAAACCGACACCAAATGCCATGTCCTCGACGTCGTGCTCAGCAATGATGTCGTCCTTGCTCGCAGGAAGAGGAGGAAGCTCCAAAAGTTTGAGAAGAGCCTCGCAGGTAAAAGCCCATCCCTTCTTGTAGCGGCTGGCAAATGCCTCCGAGTTGGCCAGAGTCTTAGTGAATGACAGCACGGCAGTCTTGCGGTCCAACGGACGGGCAAGCTTCTGCGTCTCTGGAAGGATAATGTTCAGGTAGATAGGCGTGAACAGGCTTTAAGCATAGATTAGCATGCGATTTTTAGCGGTTACTGGACGGAAAAATTCTTACTCCGGTTGTACCTTGTCGACCACCTGGATGAAGAAGTCGGCGCTGTAGCCCTTCTCGTCCTGTGCGGAGACAAAGTGGAAGAAACGAACGAATCGAATAGTAAGGTTTTCAGTCTTCGAATTCTGGAGACGAGTGAGGATGACCTGCATGATAGAGACAAAATATTGCTCAAGCGTCGCACTGCGGAGCTGTCAGCGACATGTATCATTGCGAGTTGTTGCTTGGATAGTCGACTTACGGTGGGAAGCCTGTAACGACCGCCTCCAACAGGTCGAATCCATAACCTTCGTTGGTCTTGGTGGAGAGCAACTTCTGGAAGATACCAAGGATAGGTGCAACTTGATCATTTTGCATGATGTACTCAGCACCACGAGGAATAATGCTAGACAATAGCCGCACCAGCGCCGGAATGTTACCCTTGGACTCCCACATGACAGGCATGAGGATAGGCCCAATCAGGTTCTGGTAATAGCTCGGCAGGGTTCCGGAAGGATTGGCCTCGAGGAGAGCAGCAAAAAGCTGGAAAATGTAAGGCATGAACTCTGTAGATATATCAGCAACAGTCCGTGAGGGTTTAAGCTTGCAGACGATATTACCTTGAACATCACCTTGCAGAATTTCAGCAAAAGGCGTGTAAAGAGCTTGCTCGAGTTTCTCCGGATTGGCAGGGGCGGCGAAACTGGGAAAAGGTTAGTGTTTGAAGCGCGGATGGCCAGATCGCGCACATACCGAATAAAGGCACCCAAAGCTTCAAAGTGGAAGTAGTAGAACCTAGGGTTACTGGGGTTGCGGCTGATCACAGTCGTGATGTTGATCAAGTGCTGAAGGACACTGTCGGTGTGGGGAACAACACCCTCCTTGATGACGATAAGAACCCTCATGGCACATCTCATCAGGAACTCATTCTCCTGGACCTTCTCGGGAGCAGGGTCCTTTTCAATGAGGGAGAAAATATGTTCAAGTAGATCCTTAGCCAAGGGAGTGATAGTACCAGGAGCGATGATCGGCTGGCCCTGGGCATCGGCAAGGTAAAGAACTCGCTCGACAGCAATAGCGGCGTAACTGTACACAACAAAGTTCGAAGAACCAAGCTGGTTGACAAGCATGGGAAGTACCTCTTGCCACTGTTCCTTGGTTATGATGCTCCGGAAGAGGTACAAATACTTGATGGCATCCACCTTGAGAATGGGGTGGACTCCCTCACTGTTCACAAGATCGGCAGCAAGGTGCTTCTGGAAGTAATCGGTGATGCTAATGAGCGAGTTCGTGGCTGTTACACCGTGACTGGCAGTAGCAACTCCCTTGGCTGCGATTGCGGAATAGAGATAAGTGGCGGTATCCTTGGCCTTCCAGTTTGAAGCAGGGTCCTTAGCATACTCCGCAAGGTAGTGCTCCGTATACTTGAGGACAACAGTAGTGACGGATTCTTCAAATCTCTCAGACAGCCGGCGCAAGAAGTCGGTGGCGGCACGGCGTCTAGTATCGCTGTCGGAACCCTCAAGGTCGCGACGGATGAACTCGATGGGCTCATCCTCGAAAAGCTCCTCGTCGGACTCGCGCAAGCTAACGTTGGGCAAAATGACCTTCTCGATGATCTGGCCAAGCGTGCCCTCCGCTTGGAAGACAACTGCGTGCTCAGACATGCCAGCAATGGAAGTCAAGAACTGCAGAGCTCGGCTAACCAAGATGTCGTACTTGGTCTCCTGCCCAACGGTAGTCAGGAAGTTCCAGGAGCTGTCGACAAACTGGCCGACATGAGGCTTGAACTCATCCATGTACTTCTGGACATACAGAGTTAAGACTTGGAAAATCCCGGCGCGGGCGAACTCCAATGGCCCGGCTTCGGTGTCATCATCGGTGTGCAGCAGTTGGTTATCGTATGTGAGGTACTTAAGTAAAAGTGAAGCTATCCCTGAAATATTTTCTTCGAACATGGGTGGAAGATCGTGGCAAGAGAGGTCGTACATCAACTTGACCATCAAGTTGAGCTGGGTAAATCCCTGGATGAGATTTTCTTTGTTGGCAGTGTTTTGTTGGAGGAAAGCATCCAAGCCCTAAAATCAATTAGCACAAGAACACCGCAATTTTGTATTGGAAGACAATGACGGTAGGGCATTCCGGAGTATATGTACCTCGAATAGAGCCAAGAAGGGGCTGCCGAAGCGCTCGAGAACGTGATTGATTTCACTGTACAGCTCGTCCGACCGGAACAATGGCCTCCATCTCTTGAAGATTGAGTGCGCAACTTGTAGAACGCCGTTGTTGACAGTTGGGTTGGTCGGTTGGAGCCTGGAAACAAGATCCTATTGATGTCAATCGAGAGCCCAGCAACGGGTATGTGCTAGCCATGACTTACATCCACTAGGGTATCCCATCTCTCCCAGAAGTCACTATCCGCAATCACGCTGACAGCTTCTCCGAGCTGACTTTGAATGCCTGCAGGCACGGAGATCATCAAACTGATCAACTCCCGCTTGATCGTGGCAACCTCGTCCGCTTGGAGCTTGTAGTTTCCATCCTCGTCGGTCCAGTTCCTCTTAATGAAGTTCTTGAAGCAAAGCGAACTAGCCAGGCGGGTAGTATAAGGATAGGTGGCCGAGGCAGTAATCTGGAGAAGCTGCAAAGAGAAGCCCGGCTTTTGCTCCTCCTGCCGGAGAGCAAGTTCGGCTGGAGGAAAAAGTTAGACATATGCTTTGCGAAATGCACGAATGACCATCAGAAGTTTTAAATAGGGCAGAACACGGAAATGAGATTGCAGCATCAACAGGAAGATAGAAAGAAGACAAGACTAACCTTGCTTGTTTTGCCTTGGGTCCAAACTTGCCTCAAGGAGCTGCGCAACAGCCCCAAGACCGTCAGCCATTTTGAGGAGTGGGGTAGAGATTAAGATGCTCAGACAATGACAGAGATGATAAAAGCTTGATCCGAGAATTAAGGGGAGTTGGCTTGCTATCAGCGGGAGACTGTCACTTTCTAAAAAAAAAGTGGGCAAAGCTCCGTTTGTAGAGCAAACGATATGTTCAGGCAAGATGGTTAAGGTTAAGTGAGAGCCGGAGGAAGCTAAAGTTCTGGTTTGGGCAGTTTGTTTGGCGGTTGCTTTGCAAAATCTAGGCGGTGAAAGACAAACCCACCGCGGGGTGATTTTGCCTATTCAGTGTCAGGTGATCGTGCGGATCAAACCCTTCCCGACCTCCGCCAGATCATCATCATCGATGCTCTGAGGGGAAAAGTGGCTTGGCACCTTCTTGCTCTGGATATAATCTAATTTCATTTAAATGTTTACTATAGTTTCACTCACCCGTGTCTGTGCAAGACTACTCTCTTCTTACTTGAGAATATAAGCACTGCCCGCCACTGAAAACCCTAGCTTCCTACTGGCGGGGTATATTTGTCTATCGATTCAAAGAGGTCGTGACAGTTCCCAAGTGTAACGCCCGATCCAAGCCTCATAACCCTTCGCGGACCTCTTATTGCTGTTCAAATCTTCATGTGACCTGCCAATGGTATGTGAAATTGCGTGCGAAGTGGAACACTGCTCCAGACTTTGCCTGCTTCAGCTGACCATGGCATCTGTAACTCCCGGTCACGGCCCGTTGCTAACCAGTCATCCGCCAGCTGTACGATCCGTTGCCTTGACAAGCCAAATATAGCCCTCTAGTCTATAAGAACGCATGCAGTCTGACGATGCTGCAGTTCCCTCTCGGTTTCAAGACTCAAAATCAATTCTCGCCAACGTCTCCCATTCCTTAGGACTATCCACCTCAGGTCGTTTTCCTTGGTGTCACTCGCACTCAACAGTAATTTCAGACCTTACAATCAACGGATGAGCGCGATAAAAGCTTAATCGGGCGAGAGAAAGCATCAATGCATCGTGGAAGCGTGGTTTCCAGTTCCTCCGACACCTCGGGTGCGCGGGATTTCGATGCGGCACTCCGAATTCTGACCCAGAAGCAGAATTTAGGGCATGCTATCGAGGAGGCGGAACAAGTTGCGAAGTCGGCTCAGTGGTACACTCCGGAACAAGCTATTGCTCTATGGGAAGCAGGAGCATATCTGATTCACAATGAGAGCTCGCCAGAGGCTCGACGCAGTGGTTCGCTGCTGCTGGAAGCTGTCGCGGCACGACAAGATCTGTCCCCAGCAGCCCGGCGCACAATCTTCGAGTCAATATCAAGTCCTTCGGAAAGCGATGTCACACCAGCACGGGTTCAAGCGTTGATAACGCTATCAGACCATGGCAGGAAACTGGAATTCGCCGCCTCCTCTGTCTTTCCCGTGATATCTGCCTGCCTTGTTCCACTCTATGAGGTTATCTCTTCCGTTCGCATGAAAGCAAGAAAGGTGAAGCCGGGAAAGACAAATGGGCACGCCTTCGATGATGCCGTTCTGGATGACGTTCTGCAGTTTGTGGTCGATCTTATCACTCTTCAACGCAAGCCCCCTACCGGTGAAGAAGTACAAGTACTGTTAGAACAGCTTTTCATCATTTGCAAAAAGACAAGCGTTGCTGCAGATATCAAGAACTCACTCAGCGTATTCGATGCGGTCATTCTTTACGCAGACGTGCCCGATGGAAGCTTCATCCCTCTGCTCGAAGTTCTGTGCAGCATTCATGCCTCTGTCAAACCTCTGTCGGGTCCGACGTCAAGGGTTGTTCGAAGTTTGGCAAAGTCAAAGAGGAAGGTTGATATGGTCAACGAACTATATACATTCCTGACAGAATGTTCTGAAGAAAAGAGTCGGAACCTCAACGTTGTGCGGGGAACTGTGTATGTGTTGACGGACATAATTCGTGCACACGGCCAGGACGCCATCCCAGAGCTACAGTTCGAACAATTGATTGACTGCTTGAAGACCGCCACAGTGAAGGATGATGGCCGGCTGGAGGCAGACATCCTGGATTTATGTTTGAACATCTTGGAGGGAGACTTTGTCCGAGTGGCTCTGGAAAAGGATTGGGGCGCGTTCGTCGACCTGATGAATGTGTGTTCCGCCAGGGCTGTCGATGAACCTGAGCAACCATGCCCCACACTCTCTGACTCTCAACAAGTCACTCCCAAAGGCAGCGTTGTTGATGATTCCAAGTCCAGTATTCTTGCCAACACCATCCAGATAGCTTCTGTCCTTGAATCTCTTTGGGATCGTTTGAATAAACAGCAACGGCTAGACTCAACCCGGTTCCTCATGAACGCCTGTCGCTTTATCGAGCCTCCCCAGGCTGAGCTCGTTCTCGAGACCATGCGGGAGGAGCGGTTCTGTTCTCCTGGACATGAGAACTGGCTACAGCATTCCCAAAGATTGATTCGCTGCTTCATTCGCTCACACACTAAGTCCTCCGACGTTCGGGTCACTGCGTTAGAGATACTGAAGGAATCTTTCGACAGTCCCGAGTCACTTGGCTACTTCGAAGAGAAAGGCCTTCTCAAAATCATGCTGGAGAAATTCAATGAGGAGGATGACATAATACTGCTGGAATCACTGGTCGCTTTCCTTGTTGACGTCTCCATTACAGTCAACAACCAGGAATCATTCGATCAGCTAATCCATATCCTCAGCTCTCCCATGAGTAAGGACCTGGAGAAGGAAACTCTAGCGGCTTCCGAGTCAACCGCACTATCTCCAGATCGTTCATCATTTACCAGTGTATTAGAGTCGTCTCTAGCTAATGTTTGTGCGGCTGGACTCGTGAAGATTTTCTTGCGAACGCTTAACATGTCGGCAAACAAGGCTACCTCAGTGTTTGAGGCCTTGCTGAAGATAGCGCAGTCTCCGGAATGGCCAGTAGATTCGCGTCTAGCATCTCTCAAGTTACTCTACAGATTGCGATGCGATGCCGCCGGTTCTATTACTGTTGTCTCGATTTCTGAGGATGATTTCATGATGCAGGTGTCTGGTAGAAGCTTTGACGCTGGCTCCAAACCGCATGAAGATTTTACTGGTGACCACAGTGCTGACAACGACCAAGGGCGATCCATTTCAGCTGGTCGACACTTGCCACGGGAGCCCTCAAGCAGCCTTCTCTCCAGGTCAACCCGACAAAACTCTGTTGCTCCCCTTCGATCCTCCAAGCCGACGCCCCCTGTCTGGACATTCTCCACACCCCAAGTTCTCCCAGAGGAACCTCCGGTTGAGGCTAGCCCTTATGTCTACGCTTACGCGACTGCCAATGCAACCAGTCCAGTCGAATCGGAGCGGACGCAGAAGGTAGCTCTGAAGGCGAATATGTGGTTAGAGACGGTCATATCACTGCTGCAGCGCGAAACAAATTGGGATATCTACAGCTATGTGCTGACCCACTTGGCAGCTCAGTTGCAGAACAAGGATCTGTTCAGCAACGCTGTACCTCAGATCAAGCTGTTGCGCAGTGTCCTATGTGACCAGGTCAAGAACGATAGTTTTCGTGAACCGCCACCGTCCACTGGCACCAAGAAGACTGATGTTGCCGGATACATATTCGAGTTTCTATGCGTCTTGATCAGTTATCACGAGCACTTTGCCAAGAGCGAAGAAGATGAGCTTGTACGCGCCTTCATGATGGGCATCATCGGATCCTGGGGTGGTACTTCTCGTGGTTGTATCCATGCCCTATCTGTCTGTTGCCATGAAATCCCCTTATCGGTAACAAAGTCATTGAACGGAATTCTCGACAAGATGTCCAAAGTCATTACGATGTCTAATCTCGCTGTCCATATTTTGGAGTTCCTGGCCCTTCTCGCCCGTCTGCCTGAGGTCTATGTCAACTTACGTGACGAAGAAATCCGCACGGTCTTTGGTATATGCATCCGATTCTTGCAAACTTCTAGAGAGAGTCGGTTCAAAACAGATTCACTTACTCGAGTTGCCCCTGGGGGCGCTGTTAGACTTGGAAGCACCGGGTCTCTGAATTCTCTCCCGGAGTCATCAGAGGATGGAATGTCCAAGTACATCTACACATTGACATATCATGTCATGGTGTTCTGGTTTCTGTCTCTCAAGTTGCAAGACCGAGCGAAACATGTCAACTGGATCACGAGCAGACTCATATTCAAGGATGAGCATGGGAAGGAAACGGTCGAGGAACAAAGTCAAGTATTTATCGATCTGATGCAGAGAGCCGCTTTCTCAGATCTCGGCGATACCATCCCGTATCCGACATTCCCACCCTCTCCTGAAGATGGTCCCGCGTCCAAAAAGTCCTGGATTGTCGGCATGAGTATCGTGACTGTTGAGACAGCCGGGGTGTCTGGCCTAACCCAAGTGACAAAGAGGCAGGCATCAGGTACCACGTACGCGATGTATCAGCAACGCACCGCACCTGTTCTAGCTCACCAAGTATCTGCAGCTCCTGATGCCCATCTGCATCCTGACGCCATGCGAACTGCCGTCCTACCTAGTCATGTTATGCTGCAGCTGACCACCACGGCCTTCCCAACACCTACCGTTATGCAGCCCATCCTCTTGCCCGATGATGACATGACCCGGCGGGCCCTCAGCAGTTTTGACCGCAATGACATCGTGGATGGGCACAAGGTTGGCGTGCTGTATGTTGAGAACGGCCAAACCACGGAGGCTGAGATTCTGTCCAACACTGGTGGTAGCGCCGACTATGAGTATTTCCTGTCGAAGCTTGGAACCAAGGTTCCGCTCCAGGGTGCCCGCTTCAATACTCAGGGCCTACATGCTGATTTGGATGGTGATTCCACCTATGCCTGGAGAGATCGGGTGACTGAAATTGTGTTCCACGTCGCGACGATGATGCCCACGAACTTCGATCACGATCCGGCCTGCATCAACAAGAAACGTCACCTTGGCAACGACTTCGTCAATATCGTGTTCAATCGGTCGAATACACCTTTCAACTTCAACACGGTGCCATCGCAATTCAATTTCGTGAACATCGTCATCAATCCCATCTGCCGGGTCACAGAAGAGGCGGGAGCATCCGACCTGAAGGGATGCAATTTCGACAATTTATTCTACCAGGTGAAAGTCATGAGCAAACCCGGGTTCCCCGAGATCTCGCCTGCCGCTGTGCCCAAGGTCATCTCTGGGAAGAACCTTGGAGCATTTGTTCGGATTCTTGCCTTGAACGCCTCGGTGCTCTCTCTCGTCTGGAATAGCCAAGGTGGCGAGCACGTCTCATCCTGGCGCAACCGGCTGCGCGAGATCAAGAGGCTCCGCGAGCGCACCCTCGGCGCCCAGGCGCAGAACCCGGAGACCACCGAAGCCACCTACCCGGGTCAGCGACGCAACACGAAGGCCAACATCTTCTCCGAGGAGCTCCCGACCCGCGCCGCATCGGTCAAGAGCGACTTTTCCATGGACTGGAACGCCGCAGCGGATGCGAACATCCTTCAGAACCTGGACTTTTCCCGCTGGGGACGCTGAGTTAATCCCTCAGTGGGCAGACACGATGAGACATATCAGCAGCAATCCGGCCTCCGAGCGAAAAGTTCTCCAAGCATGCAGATGGAGGAAAGCCTGATCGGTATCCAGTGTCAATGGTTTTATTTTTCTCATCCGTGTCTCTTTGTTTCCACACCCTGCCATGATGAACGAAAATGTATATCTTAACTTTTTTTTTTCTTCTGTCCTGCGGTGTTTTATTGTAAATACCCCCATTTGCCATGCAGCGTGCAGAAAAGTTGTTCTCTGTTTGTTCTTAAAATCCGCGCAAGTCCCCAATCCTTCCGTTTCAGCTCTCCTTCGGTGTGTAATTATCTCTGGTTCTGGCTCGGGGCTTCAAACTTTTGAGCTAGGCTTTGTTCATGGTCACACTGGGAACATGTAGTGCGGTTGGTCAAGCCTGGCATCTTATCTCGCCTGGGGATTTAGGGTACGGTACTTGATTTGATAAAGAAAAGTCGATACTTAGGAATGAATCCATATGACTGACAAGGCTAGGAGCCGAGCCTTATCTTCGAGCGTAGGCTTTACTGGAATTGAACGGGTCCAGGAGTGTAGTGCTGTGCGGAAAGAATGGGCTCGGAAGGAACGTCTTCCTCGCGCAGGTATCACTCAACCTGGACTGCGCGCAATCGAGCGCTACTTCACATCATCTTCAGCTTCATCTTCTTCATCATCTCCCTTCATCGCCATCAGGCCAAATCAGAAGGGCTACGTAGCGGGGGCCGGGACGACCTTCACACCTACCCTGGAGAAGAAGTGCCATCCGTCACTGCACTGTACTCACTGTTACTCACTTACAAGACTCTTCACTAACTACCAAGCCATAACCCAAGCCAAACAGATCCAGATAGATGGCATGGCATGGCATGGCAGAGCCACATACCCACATTCACACCCACACTTACTAGCTTATAGATCAAAGCAGGAACTAACGTGATAGTCTCTCTAACGTGTATCCGTAGACCTCTCTAGCTCACTAAGCGTGGAGTTTGGCTTGGTCATGGTGATTAAGGTATGGGTATGGTGCTTATATGCAGATTGATTATTTCTCTGAGGATGAATCAGGGACTGAAAGTGACTGGAAGCAATCGCACGAGTAGTCGCAGTGGTTCTCGATGCTATGGGCAGAGGATGGCGACTCACTGCCCCACAGAAGTTAATGGCCATGGGTGCTACGACCATACAACTAAATCTCAACACGACCGATTTCCAGTCTTGGATCGAGCTAACACAAATGATGTCGTCATTGCGTATAACTTACTCCTGATGGAGATCAAGCGTCCCTCGATGCTACAAGCTAACCGACTACAATGCGCAAGTTCTACTAAATCGAATTTTGGACAAGCTGTCTTCGAAGGAGTGATGGTAGTCAAAATTCATGTATCTGAGTGGACAGAGATTCATCGAGACGGGCCAATGACAAACCGCTCGATGCTTCGAAATCAGTTTACATACATTACCCAGCTGCATGTCACCCTTGAGGGACAAACCGAGACAAGAAAAGGTTCGGAGCTGGTGGGGGAAGAATAGTAAAGTGGCAGAAGAAGCAGTATGCAGAAGGCTCAAAAGAGACATTCAACAAAACCAAATACGTGAACGACTTCTCGACCCTAGAGACGTGGCAGGGCGAGAAGTACCAAGGTGACCAAGCACAAAAGAATCGAACGCCTTATGGAAAGGATGAGAGGGAGAAAAAGAGAAGCATGAATCAAGAAGAGCCAGCATCCCCTTTGCTGCACACGGTGTGACCCAGCGATTGGCCGCTAGCAGATTTGGGGCTCCTGCTCGCCCAATCTGTGTGATGATGATTGTAGAAATGACGGCGAAGATCAAGGGGCTTCGCTGGGCATGGTGACGATAACAGGACGGAGGAATTTGCATATGTGCATGGTCCCGGAGGACAACAAATCGAAGTCTTCAAATATGGATATGGAAACGAAGCAAGCGGTTGGTAGGATATCGTGAGGTTTTTTCGAGTATCGTGCAGGGAGGCGACGGCAGGTGGGTTCGGTCATTTGAGGGTATCGGTTGATGACGACTGGTGGTATCAAATGGCCGCGTCATGTTCACCGGCAAGTCTCTTAATTCCATCTGGCGGAAGCCTCCTTCTCTTTAAGTCCACCCATGCGCTCGATATCCAAAGACTGGAACCGTTCGGCATCGCTCGTTTGATAGGGCGGCAACTCGTCGTTGCAGGGCTCCAAGCCGACACTGCCAGCCTCACTGATCCGCACCACCACCACGCGGCCGGACTTGCGCTTTCCGGACTCATCTTCCTCCTCCGGGAACGTAATGCGAATTTCGGGGACGGGGCTGGGCGGGGGACTCGAAGAATTCTCGATAAGGCTGCGTTTTTCGTCGTAAACAAGGACCGACTCCGTCTTAGCATTGGGCGAAGCGGACACTGTGAAGCGGCGGTGACTGGGCACGCATTGCCCGTTATGAACGGGGAGGTCGGAGTGATCACGGCTCACCCGTCTGCGACGCAGAAAGAGCAGAGCACCGATCAGAACAAGACCGAGCAGGACGAGCACGAGCAGGGAGATTAGAAGGTCGACCATGGCGGGGGACAGCCCATCACTGCTGTCATCGCGGGCAGCAAGCTTCGAAATGGTGTTCAACATTGTGATACGGGTTCAAGGAGTGTCTCCGGTTCGGGTTTGCGAAGAGATCCGGTCAAAAGTGGTAGACGAACGAGATGAAGTTCGTTACAAGTAGATTTCGAAAAATTGATGTCGTTCTACGACGGCCGTATTGTGACTGCGAAGGAACGGTGGTAGAATATAGGGCGATCACCTAGAATAGTCTCCTACAAGTGATCGTCTGACGAAAGAATGGCGACAAGGATCAGCTGAGACGCTGATCAAGGACTCAGGGTCGTTAGGACAAAAGAGAGAATGTATGGGGTCGGTTGGTCGAGGTTGGTGGTTAGGCGTGTGGTCGGTGAGATCTCGCTGGGAAGATCGAGATCGACCAGGCTGGGGCGGGGGGTTCAGATGAACGAACGAACGGACAGCAAGGTGAGCAGCTGAAAGAGTGAAGCTGACACCTGCTAAAGGTGGAAAGAGAACGTGACGGTGGTGTTGCAGGAAGATGAGGAAGGAGGAAGAATGAGGGGAGGGGTTGTTGGTATGGGGGGATTTTGGGGGGGGGGGGGGGGGGGGGGGGGGGGGGGGGGAAGTTTTTTTTTTTTTTTTTTTTTTTTTTTTTTTTTTTTTTGGAGAGTTGTCGCTGGGGGAATGAAGAATAGCAACAAGAACGGGGAAAGGAAGGAAACCAGAAAAGAGAGTGGGAGTGGGATTGGGGAAGAAAGGGTTTGAATGAAGAGAGCGAGAGCGAGAGCGAGAGTGAAAGAGAGCAGGGGAGTGAGAGTCTGTCAGCGTGAACTGGAACTGGGCTGGACGGCAGCAGGAACGAGGCGCAAGGGCGCTTAGGCACAGTCCAGACTTCCAGACTGTCGCTCGGTCGGGAAAAGCAAGGGCGACTATTGAGAGACTAGCCAAGTAAGTTTGCTGGTCAACTGGTAATTTCACTCTCTCCGCCTATCGGACCTCGAGTGTCCCTGAACCACTTCACGTTGGCCTTTTTTTAGCTCGCGCCCCCCCCCCCCTGAACCATCTATCTTCTTAGACTTGAACTTCTCAACTTCCAAGACTATCTATCAGGTAAGACCACCTCACCTCCCCAATTAACGAACAACTGAGAAAAGCAAACGAGAAGACCAAGTCACCACACCATTCATGAACAGCATCTTTGACTTTACATGCATATCCACAACACCGTGTTGCGAGTGAGTGAGACATTCTTCAAGACATGTCGGAAACTCCGGATACCGACTGGAGCAGGAAAATGCCCCGTACCTGAATGATCCACTCGCGCCCACCACAACAAAAACAAAGACTTTTTTTATTTTCAATTCTTACATCATGGGTCAAAGATTGATCTTTTTTTTTTCGAGTACTCCGTACACAATCGATTGTTGTCTCTGTCCGTGTGTACTGTCTAAACACGCTGCAGTGCTGGCCCCAACCGAGAAAGAAAGAAAAAAGCGCATGTGACATCAGAACCACCTGTCAGACTTGCAGTCTCCATCTGTCACTCTCACTGGTGAAACACAACGACTGTCTGGAAGGTCTGGAGAGCCCCCGTTGTAACCGTTGGCACCCAACCCGGCCCTGACAGCAGCCACATCCACCAGCATCCAGACACAAGTGAGTTGGTTGCGGGGAAAGGGGAAATATCTCGCGACTGGGGGTCGGATTTCCATGCCCTCGACATATGACAAGGTATATCTGTTCGCTGGGTTTTCGCATTCGACGTGATACTTCCAAAAATCAACAACACTACGGCTCTAAATCGGCATTGATATATATATATATATATATATATAGTAACCATATTCCCTAAGGGATCACCTAAATGAACTCTCCACACTGTCTGTGTTACCACACACCCATACCCACACCCACACAGACTACACCCGCACCGGTGGAAATTACAATGGGCAGTCGAAGATATATATAGGTAACATGGGTTGTCTCTCTTTTCACAACCTGCGGGACGGGACCCCTTTGCCGCAGAGACAAAATGGTGTATACCTACCTACACACCCCCTCCCTCCGAGGCAGAAAGTCCACGAGCGATGATCATGCGGGATGCTGTTTATCTCGCATTCCTACCATCATGCGTCATTAATTCCTGCTCACGCTGCTGCTCATACTACTGACTAAACCTCCGAGATATGCCGGGTTCGCCCAGTAACCATGTCCCCACATTCTCAATCGCGATCGGAAATGCGCGACGATCTTGATTGACCTTGCAGAATAGCAAAACATGCGCATCGGTTTCTTCAGTGTCGTGTTTTATACGGGGTTTGCAGTTGACTAAAATGCTCAGGGTTGAGAATAGGAAGAAGACCATACATGGGCTTCTGGATGGAAGAAACCTCGATTTACCACAAGTGCATTCGCTGCCACACGGGTGAAGTCTATTCAATCGTGTCAGGGGACAAGACAGCCTCTCCTCGACAGTAATAAGTACAACCGAAAAAAAAAGGCGACTCATAAGTCACAAATTGCATTCGACACAGACACACAGGCTGCCTTCTAACTACCGAATTTATATTTTCACAACGCCCAGAAAGCAAAGTAAGTTATGATTGCCATCATCAGAATCCCTCCCAATGGAACTCCCGCAAGGCTAGTCGTACCGCTTCTTCCCCATTCGTAATCCACACATTCTACACCCCCAGCGCCGTTCGCCGTGACCTATTGCTTGCGAGCCACGCTGCGCTGGCCCTGGACAACGGCCTTGGAGACCTCGTCCAGGCAGCCGGCGGCGGCAGCGAAGAAACCGAGGAAGGCCCGGCTGGGGCTCAAGACACGGCTGAGGTACTCGGGGTGGAACTGCACGCCGACAAACCAGGGGTGGTCCTGGATTTCGACAATCTCCATCCGCTCGCCCTTGGTGTCCTTGCCGATGAAGGTGAGACCGGCCTTCTCGATCTGCTCGATCATGGCCGGGTTGACCTCGTAGCGGTGGCGGTGGCGCTCCTCAATCTGCGAGACCGAGGGACCGTACATGCCCCGCAGGCGGGACCATTCGGTATTCTCCTGGAAGATACAGGGGTGCTTGCCAAGACGCATCGTGCCGCCAAGCTTGCCCTTGTCGACCTCGGGCATGTAGACGATGGCGTGGTTCTCGGCCGCCGGGTGCAGCTCCTCGCTACCAACGTCCTCGACGCCCACCACGTTGCGGCAGTACTCCAGCACCGCCAGCTGCATACCCAGACAGACGCCCAAGAAGGGCTTCTTGTTGGTCCGCGCCCACGTGATGGCCTTCATCATACCCTCCGTACCGCGGTTGCCGAAGCCACCGGGGACCAGAACACCGTCCGCGGTGCAGACGGAGTGCCACGCCTTGTGGTAGTCGGCGGGGGCGGTTCCGTCCTCCAGGTGCGACGAGTCCACCCAGATGATCTTGACCTTCTTGTGGCAGAACATGGCGGCGTGCTCGAGGGCCTTGGACACACTGATGTAGGCGTCGTGGAGAGAGGTGTACTTGCCAACCAGGGCAATGGTCACCGGATCGTGCAGGAAGTCCTGTCCCTGGGCGAGGTCGACCCAGTCCTTCCACATGCGGCTGCCGCGCTCGATTCGCTCGGGGGTGGGTTGGATGGGCGTGAGATCGAGCATCTGGGTGATTGTGTTGATGAGCTTCTGCTTCTCCAGCAGAAGGGGGACGTGATACGTCGTCGTCACGTTGTGCACAGCGATGACCTGGTGTTGCTCCACCGAGCACATGTTGGCGATCTTCTGGATCGTGCTCGCTTCGAGGGGCTGCTCGCAGCGACAGGCGATCAGGTCCGGGCTGAGACCGGCACTCCGCACATCGCTAATGGCTCTCTGTGTGGGTTTCGTCTTCTGCTCACCGCCGGGTCCGGGGGGAATGACCGGCACGTAGGAGACGTGGATCTGGACAAAGTTGCCCTTGCCAGCCTTGCGCTGCAGCTGGCTCAGCGCGTGGATGAAGGGAGCACTCTCAATGTCTCCGACGGTACCACCCAACTCGATGATGCAGACGTCCGGCTCGGCGCGGGACTCATCCACGGGGACCCGGGCGACGCGCTCGATCCATTCCTGGATGGCGTCGGTGATGTGGGGCACGACCTGGACGGTCTTGCCCAAGTAGTGGCCGATCCGCTCGCGGTTGATGACATCCTGGTACACCTTGCCCGTGGTGATGTTGTGGTCCCGAGTGAGCGACGTGAGCAGGTAGCGCTCGTAGTTGCCAAGGTCAAGGTCCATTTCACCGCCGTCATCAGTGACATAGACCTCACCGTGTCTGGGGGATGTCAATAAACGGGGTCAGCACCAGAAAGCCGGATCTCAAGATACTGACTCGGTAGGTGCCATAGTGCCCGCATCGATGTTGATGTAAGGGTCGATCTTGATGCTGGTAACCGTAAGACCCGTCGTTTTGAGGAGCAGACCGGTGCTGGAGGCAATAATGCCCTTGCCCACGCCGGAAATGACACCTGAATTGAGGAGGTTCCCGTTAGCAAATGGATTTGGACACAGAGGACTGAGGGGCAATGCGTTCCAACTTACCTCCAGAGACCAGAACGTACTTCATCTTTGCAGCGACCGACCGTAGAAATTTGTGGTGACGACAGACGTGAACGATGCCGCAAGAGGGGTGGAAGGACGAGGCAGAAAAAAAAGTTGAGTGACTCCGATCGGTGGAGCAGTCACGTGGCACCACTTATCTTATCAAAAAAACTTTCCGATAAAAGTAGATTCCCGGGTTGGCCACGACAGGCACACTCACTCACACTCAGGGATCAATACTGCTATCAATTGCGCGGGGAGGCCTTAATCTTGATTATATAGATCCGTCTCAAAGAAGAAATACCCGACTACCGCAACTCTTCTTACCAAGTATATCACCATGCATGCGAATTTGAGTCATGTCGAGTCACCAAGTTCCCTACCTTAGGTTCACCGAACACGCTTATCTAATCGAACTCTCATTCAACTACTAGTACGAGTAGAAGGCAGCACTGCCAATCCCATTGCAAAGCCAAGTCCTCAGCCTAACGGATGCCTGCTTGGTCTCATCGGGGATTCTCAGCCTTGCGCTGCCCCCTACAGCAGCTCGGCTGAGAACTTCTGCCCACCCTGGCGGCAATATATTTCCCAATAGCGTTGAGATTCCTCAGGCAAAAGCAGAGAAGCCTTGTCGACCGATGGGTTCTAGCTCAAGAAACAGTTCCGAGCACAGCAGGCAGAGGCCGTCGACATGGCGAAGGATCGACCGTGATACGATCGACTCAAACAGCGACATGTATGTGTATACTGACAGTGACCCCGAAATCGAAGGGATAAACAAGCCAAAGACTCTCCATGAAGCGGCTTACGAGGACAACTATGAAGCGGCGAAGGTGCTACTCCGCAAGGGAGCGGCGATCGACCTTCCGGACTTGAATGGAGATACCGCGCTCCACATCGCAGTTGTAAAGCATTCGGATTATTTTGTGCGATTCTTGATCGATCAGGGCGCAGATGTCAACCGCCTCGGCAGCGAGGGTATGACGCCGCTGCTGCTGGCCATCAGCCATCCAAATTACGGCATCGCAAAACGTCTTCTGGAGGCGGGAGCTGATGTCGATGTCGCGGATGACAAGGGAAGAACAGCGCTGCACCATGCCTGCATTCAGGACCGTGAAGGTATGGTCGACCTGCTCTTCCAGTTCGGACCTCAGGCGGATCCTCGGGATAATTCCGGCCGCACGCCGTTACATCTTGCACTGGCTCGCCATCAGTCCGAGATGCTGAATACGCTGCTTCATCACGGGGCCAATGTTAATGCCGTGGGCCCCGAGGGGAGGGCGCCGTTGCATTATGCTGCCAAAGCGGGGTGGGCTAGACCGATGCGTGCGCTGCTTCGGCCTGAGGTGGACGTTGACGCAAAAGATGCCGAGGGGAACACGGCACTCCATCTCGCCTGCCGCAATGGATTCAAGCAAGTGATGTGGCTATTGCTTGAACATGGCGCTAGTGTTCATGTCAATGACTCCGATGGGCTGACGGCTCTGCAACTAGCCTCTAGCACAGGACAGTCGGCGAGTATAGTGCGCCTATTGCGGCACTACGAGGCGAAGCTTGATACCAAGAAACCTTCAAAAGCGCGATCGCGTTCAGTCTCCCCTCCGGGCAGAGTGCGTGTCATGAGATCGACAAATAGCATCTTAGAGCCGAAGGAGGTCGAAGTAGAAAGCGTGTCTAGCCACGAGATGCCGCGACAGAGGAAGAAAGAGACGGGAAGCGAGCCGGGTCACGATGGATTGGACCCGACTGACGATATGGCGGTAGGTACTGAGATAGACGCTGCGAGGGAAATGCTGGGGCAGAATCACTGGGATGGCGTCCGTCGGGATAATGGCGACGGCTTTATCTTGGCCAAGTACGACGGTCATGATATCTACTGTGACGCCAAAATGGAGTCAATCCATTCATCATCTCACGAGGGCCAGGAGATGCATGCGATCCAGCTCAAACTCAACTTCATGAAGCCCCATTCCTTGAAACATCGTATCCGGTATGCAGAAGTCGACGTGGCCCTTCATGCAACCGACCAGAAAGCGTGGCCCAATATCCGCACCATCATGCCGCAGGCTGATCGGGTCGAAGTGTCGGAGCAGGAGATCACCACAGGACAAAAATTCACAGTTGGGGCGAACGGCAACGGCGGACCGTCCAGCGTCAACATCAGCATGGAAGGTTCCAAGGGCAGAAAGTCCACCTTCAAAGGGGTCCGGATAATCCACGGGGCAGTCAAAGACCGGATGCACGCCTCCTGGCGGTTATATGAGGAACCAGGAAGCAAGAGCGGACTACCAGAGATCGTCCGCCTTCTCCTGGTGGTCCAATGTGACGCCGAGTTTGAGCTGCGTGCATCGCTGTCCGCGAGGGCCAGCCATTTCTTCTCGTTCGGCATCCCACGCACGGTGACGGCCAAAAAGGGGGCCCCGTACTTGATCCCCCCACTGACGGAGATCATGACCCTCGAGCAAGCGATGAAGCTGAAACTGATACTAGGCGTTGCGGACCGGGCGGCTGGCATGGTCGAGGACGCGAGAAGGCTGGAACAGAGAGTCACCCGGTCGATCAAGGAGCATAGGAAGCGAGCTCTGATCATGGAAGCAGGCGCGAGTGAAAGCAACATCCGCGACTGGGCGGACATCGCGGATGCATCCAGCTACGGGGATTTCGCCCTCCTGTGCGAGAAACTGCTCCGGACGAGGGATGTCGAGAGCCCCGAGGTCAGACCACGGCCGAGGCGCTGGAGCCCTCCGCCTGTACCGATAGTAGAAAGATCGCGCTCGCATTGGAGGAGGCGTGAGAGTTTTGACTTTGATGGAGACGACCAAGGATACAAACAACGGATGCGCGCCAGGCTTGGGGTTGATGAGGCGGAAGAGGCGATGGCGCCTATACACCGCTCGAGCAATGTCCAGGGCTTCTCGGCGGTTGGTCCTGGATATAAGGTGTCGCGGCTAGCCTAGGGGGTTTTACTTTGAGTGGAGTGACTGTCATTGCTTCAATCATCATGTGCTGCAGCTGTATGATGTTGGAGGAGTCAGATTTGAACAACAATATCTAGGTAATTTCAATGATACCGGTCTTGATGGTATGTCCTCAAGCTAAAGAAAGTACCTGAAATGACGGCTGTGACCTTATAATATAAATACATGCTGCATGAGATGGACCTCAGAATGGCTGATACTAGATGGGCGATATCGTCCCACAGCCTTTAATACCTGTGATCCAGCTCCATCTGTCGCGTGCCTCATGCATAGCTCATTAGCAGCCACATGGACCGGGCAGAAGCGAAATCTGTTGATTAGTGTCTCACAGCCTCATACCACAATATATGCCGTGCCTATATCTACATGCAAAAACCGAGTTGGTATCTCCGACAGAAAGAGATAAACTCAATTGATGTATATGACTATCCCTTCGTCATCCACGATGATTCATAAGTCAAATGACATCATGTTCTGACAGTTCTCCTTCACCTCGACAACATGACGTCTCCTGAGCCCTTAGGCACGGAGGGCCTGCGAGGCGATGCTCTGCTCGCTGTGTCCAAGACGAGTCTGACCTTCTGGCAGAGACATCACAACATCCAAGCCCCTCTCCTCAAGTCTGTCGGATAGAGCGACATAGAGAATAAGTCACAATAGGCTGCAGCCGGAAGACAAACCCGTGCCGTCTTTCTATCACTACCGTGTTTCGACACTTCCTCCAAGTAGTCGGACCACGGTATAGGCTGTCAAGTCACAAGTGCGATGTTTCGGAATGAGCTCATATGTATGAGTCGACCGCGGAAGAAGTCGGATATCTGAACCACTCAGCACAACGAGTATATGACATAAAACTATCATCCGTGTGATGGGTATTCCCGAACCAGGTGATTGAACGAACTAATTCTTCGACACAAAGCAAAGACAATGACTGGACTCCCGAGTCATCGGAGAAGGGATCCTTCCACCGAGAGGGCAGTTGAGCACATATTTCGCAGGCTACGCCAGAGCATATACATTGCCCACGGCAAGTGAATTGATCATATGCCTCACGAGAAGTTGGGAACGCTGACGATAGCTTCGAAGTTTTCGTTTTCTTTCTGGACCCTGGGCTGTGGGAGTGGAGAGCCCGTGTGATAAGTCGTCAAGCCCCGACCTATGTTCTTCCCCCAGGCTTGCGAGAGTGTTGGTGTCCCCTCCCCCTCCCCCTCCCCCTCTGTCCCCGACGGCATGCGTGCCCATGGCATGGATCTACAATCTATGAGGCGTGTTACAGCCAGTGACGGTCCACTGTTGGCGAATTGCTGGGTTACATACGTAGGGGTGGGAGGAATGGGGTGGAAGTAATCGCCGCTCCTTTGGATTGAGTTTCCCGCTCAATTCTGAGTACAACCGCCCCCTCTCCCCATCTCTTTCAGTCACTTGCATTTAGTGGGGGGGGGGGGGGGGGGGGGGGTATTGTATCCAGTGTGGGCTTTGCTGATAAGGCGAGTTTGAAGCTGGGGGGGTGAGGGTGGGAGATTTGCAGGCACGCATGCAAGGTGAATCGGGGTTGTGCTGTGCTTTGAGGAGTGAGCGAGTTGTTTGTTTTTCGAACCTGAGGGAAGTCGTGTGTTGTATTTTTTTGATTAGCCTTGCCTCGTTAAGTAAATTTAAACCCCCGAAGTGAAATTAAAAGATTAAGGCTACGTACAGAGCTACACGACATACGGACATCCCACATGCTACCTAACGTGCCATGAACTACATCCGATACGTATCAGCAGCCATGACGGTGGAGAGGAACTACAGCCCGACCACAAAGCCCCAAGTAGGTTCCCTCCTCCCGTTGGTGAGGGTCTTTGGGTTTCTTTGGTTCCTCGGCCGTCAGAACGGCAGGGCGGATGAAACCTAAATCCAATGTTACTGTTTGGGATGCAAGGGGCGATTTCATGCGTGCCTCTGGATTCAATGGAGGAGGCATAGTGGGGAACAGTCAACCAGATAAGCTGATGTATGTCCGTATGTATGTATGCACGATTGGCAGTTACATGAGTCGCACCGGCTGGAGGAAAGCGTGGGGATAGATAGGAATAACGTGGGGGTGTGTTATTATTGTTATTGTTACTGTTATTGTTGTTGTTGTTGTTGTTGCTGCTGCTGTGGTTTCCTGACAGGAACGCTGACAAGCGCCTAGCAATCGAGTCGCGGGGCTAGTAGGTATGCATTAGGGAAGGGGGAGGGTGATTAGATTAAATAGCTACATTAGACGGTGGTCTTCTCCTCACTGCTGCGGATGTTGTTGGTTGGT